TTGTACTGCATCTCCCTTGTTTCAGGAGCAGAACATGTTGTCCTATAACTTGAACTGTCACTGAAGAGTAGTAGGAGGCAATATTAATAAATTCCACATACTGCTTTAATATTGTCTGGCCATGAAACAATTTACACTCTAACCAGATTGCATTATGTTAAACAAACATGGAGGCTCCCCATTCTAGTGAGAGCTGAGCCCATTAATAACACTGTTTATAATGCGCTTATTTGCTGATTTGGAGGTCAAGCACGTTCCACATTCCTAGTGCTCAAAGGGGGCTCACTTAGCAGGGATACTGCTTTACAGTGGATGCATCTCCTTTTTTCACAAACCACATCTACATTTTCCAGAGAAATGTTTATGGCTTGGAGGTCGCTGACATAATTTTAAACATCTGCCTGAGCTCAGAAAGGGGAAGATTTTAATTATGTTCTTTATGGCCTCTTTAAGTTTTGCTTATTTTCTTACACTCTGTAATTCATGTGTCGCACTTTTGCTTACTTCAGGCATCTTAAAATGTACAAACAGCAATTATTTCAGATTCAATGAATGTAAACAATGCAGCACCTGCCACTCACATGCTGTCACTTGGCTTTTAAAACAGACCCTGGAAATTAATTTTAGTGCTCACAAAAAGTGTCAGTGCGTTGACAGCCCAGACGATGGGGATTTTGTATTTACCTCCTGAAGAAGCACAGGCGAACCAGTGAAAGGCCAAGCTTTCCACAAGCCATCTTCTCGACCACCCACCAGCATGCTTCATGCCTGTTCTGGAAGGACCAGCTGGACGGCTCTGGGGGCATTCAGTTGCTGTGACTTTTGGGGGAGGAGATTTTCCACTGTTTCACCAGCAGTGTATATTCCGTTCAGCACCTGGAACTCTAGTATAGAAAAGGCACTGGCATGCACTTTATTACTAAATCAACTTTATGTGCTCTGAGTGTATGTATATTAAACTAAGATCTGGGTTGCAGCCTTGGCTTTTCGAGGGTGTGATTCATTGTGAAGAGACAGCAGCTGCTCAAGGATGATTTTGTCTCCCTTTGTGATTCCAGAAGTTGACAACTGGGGTGTGTTTTGAAAATGTTGATTAGATAAAATTAATTAAGGGCACATCTACACTGCTTTTTAGGGTTAATCTCGAACAGTCTGAGTCACTTGATGCAACTGCATAAATCACCCCTCTGTACTACACCTAGAGGCTAGTACCAACCTGTCCACATTATGCTTCTTTTTTCTTGAAAACAGCACCAAGATGTGTTGCAGGACCCCTTGTGGAGCCCTTCTAGGAATCTGTGTACACACTACTTGTCCCCACTTCCAGGCTTGTCTTTCCTTGCCGGCAGTAGAGAGAGGAAGTGGAACATAAGGGCTAGTAGACAGGAACCTGGCATTGTGGGATTGATGCTGACCTTTTTTTGAGGTCTGCACTCCCTGCGAAATTCCAACACATTTTAGGGAGAGGTGGGCCAGGAAACAAATGAAGACGTGGTTGACCTCATATGTGAAAGTCCAGCAGAGCTTTCAGTTTGATCTTGTTCTGGGAATACAGCATTGTAGTTTAGAGCCTAGAGAGTTTGTGAGTATTGGCTTTAGTTAGCCCTTAAAATTGACCTTAAGTACTAATGTAGATGTAACCTGGGTGGCAGCCCAATAGTTGCCATCCCTGCCCAAATATCAGGGATGGTGTGGTGAGAGTGGGGCAGGGCTTCTGGCCAGCACCAATTTCCTTTCCAGCCAGCCTCTGCTCCCCACAGAGCAGCCTATGGTCCCAAGAAGGTCTAACACTTAACTGATTTAACTAGTTACACTTTATTTACAAAACAAGAATAAAAGGAAAGGTTATTTACAAGTGAACTTAAACGGTCTAACCAGAATCACAAGACAAACCAGAATGCATTAGTCAACCCTTGACTCAAGAACCGCAGGTAGGGGAACTGGCACATTTCAGCCACTGCTGAGATGCTACAGCAAGGAAGCAGCGTGTTTGCTTCCAGCAGCTCCAGCAGGCTTTCCAATAAGTGACAGACTGCAACAGTGTAGGCTCTTCTGGTCTGCAGCAATCAAATTGTATCAAACCCCAACCCCCCAAAAGAGGCTGAAGGGTTACCCTCCATGGCAACCAAAAGGCAAGCAACAAGCAACAGAGTAGGCTCCTGTAGCAATCAGCACGACCCAAGCACAAAGCTCAGGGACTCCAGCCGATGACAATCGGCTGCAGAATAAGGGACAGGACTGAGTCCCCTCTGGGGCAGTCAGTGGCAGAGGGTCAGCAGCACATGCAGCTCCCAGGGATCACTGCTCTAAACCCCTGCTCCAGATGACTGGCTGAGTGTCCCACACGCTTCGCGTATCCCGCTGTGAGTGCCGGCCTACGCCCCAAGCTCGCAGGGACCTTTGTCCTGGGGCTCTGCCGCTCTTCAGGATCCCAGTGCCTTGCCTGCTGCTGTATCGCTTTCCCAGGGGAGGTAAGGGGTTTCCTCAACTCACCGGCCCAGCTCCCTGCTTTGGATAAGGCTGCCACCTGCACTTCTGGCCACTGCTTCTTCTCTGCAATGGAGTGGGGGACCAACTGCCACCCCTAGCCTCCGGGATGCCTGGCACATCCAGCACACTGCGATCGGGCCTTGGGGCACCAGCTCTCTGCCCCAAGCCCTAGCCGCTGCTCCCCCTTTGCTTCAGGGGTGGAGGCACAGCTGCCTTCAAGACTCTTCAGAGGGGTCTCTCTGTTCCCTCTGCTGGGTCAGCTCACCCCAGCTCTTATAGATTCATAGATGTTAGGGCCGGAAGGGACCTCAATAGATCATCGAGTCCGACCCCCTGCATAGGCAGAAAAGAGCGCTGGGTCTAGATGACCCCAGCTAGATGCTTATCTAACCTCCTCTTGAAGACCCCCAGGGTAGGGGAGAGCACCACCTCCCTTGGGAGCCCGTTCCAGACCCTGGCCACTCTAACTGTGAAGAAGTTCTTCCTAATGTCCAATCTAAATCTGCTTTCTGCTAGCTTGTGGCCATTATTTCTTGTAACCCCTGGGGGCACCTTGGTGAATAAATGCTCACCAATTCCCTTCTGTGCCCCCGTGATGAACTTATAGGCAGCCACAAGGTCGCCTCTCAACCTTCTCTTGCGGAGGCTGAATAGATCCAGTTTCTCTAGTCTCTCCTCGTAAGGCTTGGTCTGTAGGCCCTTAACCATACGAGTGGCCCTTCTCTGGACCCTCTCCAGGTTATCCGCATCCCTCTTGAATTGCGGCGCCCAGAATTGCACGCAGTACTCCAACTGCGGTCTGACCAGTGCCCGATAGAGGGGAAGCTCTTCTTAGGCCTCCTACATCATTCCCCGGAGTCACTGCCAGCAGCCCCCCACACCAATTCGGCTGCTGCTTTTATCCCCTCTGGCAATCCCGCCCTGCCTTGCAAACTGGCCAACCAGGGCTCAGGGTGGCTGGCCCCCCCCCACTCCGGCCATCCCCCTTCCATGCAAACGAGGGGATTGAAAACCTCTTCTTTCGATTGGCTTCTCCTTTTCCACAGGGCAGGGCTCCCCTGCTCCACCCTTGGGGTTGCTCAGACTTCACCAGCACTGTTTCTAGCCCAGGGTAAGTATCTCAAGCCAATCTGGTGAGCCCACGTTGGCAGTCTGTTACATAGATATAACCTACAAAAATTGGCTCCTCTTTGAAAAGTTTGCAACATGTCTAGGATACTTTCACATCCGTCTTCTGTTAAACAAAACCATCTTACAGTAAAAACCTGAAAAGGAGGTAGCTTTTGATGTCATCTCTGGAAGAAGGCTGATTTCATGGCAGGGATGCTGACTGGTATTAGAAATTGTCATTATTTGAAAACTGGACCCAGGTTGCCATCACTGAACCTGGCAGGCAGACAAATAAGGCGAGAGAGGAGGAGATTTTCCTTGTTAAACTGTGAAATTGCCAAAATTGCTTTTCAGTTGTAAAACGACGTCTGGGACATGCCAAAATGACTTATCCTGTTGCATTCCTCAGTAAAATGTCCTTTTACCCTAGAGGGGCTGTACTGGGGCCTGAGTTCTAAATTCACCTTGTCTAGGGAAAGGCCTGTATAAATCTCTCCATTTTATAGTCTTTCTTTAAAGAGAGCTTAAGCACAAGCACAGAGAAAGAGCAAGATGCTGGCATCCATTTTCTAATGGTCTCACTCATCCACTAATACGGGTATGTACAGAAGTCCTCCCTGCATGTTTTACAGCACTGTAATTTAGAGCACTTTTTAAAGCAAATTAGAGCATTCTAAAATGTGATAGAAGTGCGGTATCTGGTGGTGGTGGTGGGGTAGGTCTTTGATCCTCCCTGCACCTTCTAGGCTAGGGGGTAGCAGGTGCTCCACAACCTTCACTGGTCAGAATTTGATCAGGGTACAGAAGTTATTTAAAGTGGTGTAGGTTGCTATAGTGCTGTAAAATACAGAGCTTCATTTAATACCTCACTTAACAAGGATTAATTTAAAGCGCTATACTTATTTTTAAAGTGCTGTAAGGCTGTGCATTTCTGTTAAGTCAGAGCAATGAAGCACTTTAAATGGCAAAAAAGCAACTTCCACACACAGCTGTAGAGTCAAATTTCCAAAAGAGCTCAGGGTCACATTTTCAAGTGCTAAGTACCGTCCCTCAAGGCCAGATCAGCAAAAGGGGCCAAACACCTGATGCTGGTCTCTAATTGGAAGCTGAGCTGTTTTGGAAATCTGGCTCCAAGATAGGGTTCTGATTTATATTTCTACATTCTGTCATTAAAGTCTAGAAAGTTAACTCAAAGGTCATGGCCACAGGAGAACCAGACACAATATGTTCGACCTTGGCACAACTTGATTGTGGCAAAAATTCACAGAGTCTTTTTTGTAATTAAAGAAGAAAACATGAGGCACAGCATTTTAAGCATTCAAAATTCTTTTTGAATATTTTTAATATTATACTATCATATGGAATTATGAGAAGTCAAATAAAGACTTTTTTTTTTACAGAAAAGTTGTTTGAAATAATTTTAAACATGTACTTGATTGAACTGGACACCAAGGGCAGTGGAGCTGCAGTGGTATAGAACTAATTTTGCACTGGAGACCCCAGGTAAGGAGTTAAACAAAAGCTTGTGTGGTTATCTTATGCTGAACTCCAAGCTACTGAAGCTTTCTGAAAATTAAAAAAAAGTGTAAAGCCATTTTGTCCCACTCTGATTAACTCATCCCTTTCTGAGTTGGATTTGTGGAGGCGCTGGAAAGATTGACAACTCACACCTACTTTTGTTAAAAAAGGTGTTGTTGATAACTCCACATTGGCTTGCTAATACCTCTGCAGATATTCTCAGTCTTCCAAATACCCTTTTGTTTTGCTCCCTGCAATTGTTTATTTTATGGTGTAGACTATATCGTTAGGACATCATTGCAGTCCAATATTTTACTTGGCAGACCTGCTCAGTCACAAGCTCAACCCCAGAGTTTCCCATCGCTAGCAGTCTGTAAAACCTAAGCATTCTCTTACCATATGGTAAGGACTTTTGGGTAAAAGAGGAAGATTAGCAAAGAGGTGATCTCACAGTCACTTATGCTTTTTATGCTGCATGTGTGGTAATGTAGCGATTACCACTTCAAGGGTTGAGAGCTGATTATCAAGAATCTTCTCCAATGCCGACAGCTGTAAAATGCTAGATAACTGCTGATCTGTTTTATAGGAAGCTTGAGATGGAAACCCATCTGACATTTGCAATTAAAACTTATTCTCTATCTAATTTATATTCCATTGTGAAATGCACATGTATGTGTGCATGCATGCTCACACATGCACCCACACATGCATACTCACACATGCACCCACACATACCAGCTTATTATTCTAGAGGCTTAGGGGGGAGGGTGGGACTGCATCAGAGTGGTGGGCTGCATAAATTAGTTTGATACTATGTGGCACTTCATTTTTTAATTACAAAAATACCTGGAAGTGTTGGTCTAAAACACTCTGGACCAATTTATCCAGACCTGATGGTATGACAGGGCTCAGCTGACAGTGCTCAGCATGCATCCGTCAAGATAATGTCAGGGGGCTCTTGGTCAATGTGGTAGTTCTTTTGAGTACATGGGAGTAGCCTTTAGGTTGCTCTGATCTGTGCTGGCTGCCCAGGGGCCACTGCAGTAGCTGAGCATCAAGCTGGGTGTAGAAATGCCTCAGCCAGGCTCTCTTTTTCTTGCCTGGCCTTCTGCTCAGAGTTCGATGGTACGGAAGTTGTCGCTGTGTCTCAAGGCACTTGGGGTTTTCCTTACCCTGGGATCCATTATCTGCTTTGCTGCTTTGCACTGTGTATCATCATTCATGAGGATGATTATGTTCCATAGCTATTGTATACACCTCAGTTGCACCACTGTGGTACCTTTCAGCAGCACTTAGCTCCTGTAAACACATGAAAATAGACATCCATGCTGCGCTGTCAGAAGCCCCAACCTTCCCAAGGGCACCGCTAATCACATTCTTCTTCTACTCTGACTGCCTCTCTTTCCTGCTGCACTGGGCTGGTAATTGTGGTCACAGAACGAGCCCATTCCCCCAGTGGCTTATGCTGGAAGAAACTCTCCATCACTGCGCTATGGGGCAGATAGTCCTCTAGTGAGTAAAAATCTCGAAAATGCTGCATGGAAGGGCTACTTTTGGGAAAATGAGTAGGGCTGAGTCAAGCCAGTGTTTAAAGGCCTGAGGATTAAAGTTTAAGCCAAGCAATAGCAGATCAGTACTAATTACTTAGAAATAATTCATTCCAGCTCATAGCTTTTGCTGGAGAGAAGTGGGACCTAGCACTGAGTTGCCATAGAGGGAGGGGTGGGTTGTAAGGGCATCCCTGGAGAATATTCAGGGTTATTTTGGCAGAGTACAATGGAAAAAGCACAGACCATGGCTGCCTTAACAACTCTTGGCCATGTGGATAAAGAAGTTTGCCTCCAGCCCTGCCAGACCCCTTTGCCTTCATTAGCACAAACATCAGCCTAGAGCTAAAAAAACTCAAACTTCTTTTTCTGGCTGCTCCCTGTTCTACAATGCACATTGATTGGAACAGCCAGCAGACTCTGGTGGCAGTGAAATAGAAGAAAATGGCACAAATTACACGTCATGTTATATCTGGTTGGAATTTCAGCGCTGCAAGGTCAACTTTAAGTTATCCCCAAAGGACTGATTTTGTTTATACATTAGATGATTTGGCTCCCAACCATCAGATTTGCCAAGTAATATAAATCTACAGACATTTGCTTTTGGCAGAGAATGCTCCCCACTTTGAAATCAAGAAAACTTATTTTCCCAGAGCTAAGGTCAGCAGCTGTAGTGAAATAGAGATAAAAAATAGCTCATATTGCTTTTTACATGATTTTTTAATGCATTGAAAGAATTATCTGCAACTGTCCTCCTTGACATCCCAGCCTGCTCCTTTCCACCCAGGCACAGGCAAAGATGGCACTATTCTCCAATTCATCTGTAATTTCCACTAAAGGTGAACCTCCCTGGGGAGCTACATGTCTAGCATCCTGGATAGATTCCCTTATCTTCCCCTTCAGCTTTCTGAACAAGCCTTTAGAATAAGCAGAGCTGAGTTAGCCACAAAAAGCCATGCCAAGAGTGTCATCAACCTGGTGCATGCTGGGAGTCTTCCATCAAAATGAGGCCTCCATTCCAGATGAATACATTTGCTCATGCATCTTGAAGTCACCATGGGGACAAAGCAGAGTTCGAGGGTCAACCTGAGTTTTATACCCACCGATTACCGATGACCTGAAAATCTGCTCACTTCTAAGCTTGAGCACATCTGACTGCCTAGGAGAAGGATACCTACCTACTTATTGCTGCTGTCTCACGGCTAGTAGCAGGCTTGAGACTGCGAGTACTTCTCCTTCCAATTCTGAAGCCTCCTTGAAGGGGAGCTGTGTGCGCTATTTGACCGGAGGGGATGCATTTAGAAAGCTGAGGGAACAGCAGATCCTGCGAGCTTGGCTGCAGAGCAGAGGCCTTTGTTTGGTGTTTTTTTGTGGACTACAAAGTTCAAAGAGTGTAATGGGTTGAGGCTTCATGTTTAGTTAAGGGACAATATCAATTCTTTGGCTGGAGGGTTGTGAGGTTATGCAAATCGAATGAGATTTGCAGACTGCAAATAGACTGAAGTGTTTGTTGTGAGATCCTGGGTAGAGATGGGCATGAACTGATTTCCCCATCCAGTGAGAATATGCAGCACTTCAGAAACTTGTATTTTTTTCAAGAAGGCAAAAGATAAACATGTTGGCAAGCTGTTTGGATCCGTCCAAATATTTCACTCCAATCATTTCATTTAGCTTTGATTTCTACTTTTGTTCTAAACATTAACTTAAATTTCTAAGTGGAAAGTCATTTCACACTGAAGTTTGGTCATTTTCATTTTAAATGTGTCAAAACAGGACCTAGTCAGAATTTCAAATAATTTTCTTTCTAGAAATGTTTTAAAAGGGGACATTAATCAAACTGACCCTTTCCTCTTGTTTGTTTGTTTTTGTTTCAATACACTGCCGTTTATGGGAGAAAGGCTGCAACATTTTATTGAGACATTCTCAATCAGCCTACTCCTGGGTCCAAGGCTGGGTTACTCTGGGTACTATTACACTGCATTTGGGCCTGACCACAAGCCACTAATCCAGCTGAACCAGCCCCTGGGTAATACACTGGTGTACAGTCATCATGGACTTGCCCTACAGCTTTCCCATGCAGGGCCTAGAGAAGACGTATGATTGGAGTGGTGGTGGCAGAGACTGGAGCTCTGGGGGTGGTGTACCTTACTTTAGACCATGCACATTAACTTAAGCTGCTCCAAAGGGTCAAATATGAGGGACAGGACAAGTGAGCCCAACTTTTCCTTCTCTGCTAGCTCTGAGGAAGAGCTCCCTGAATCCTGAATCCCCGCCCCCCCAACCCATTTAGTCAATTTATCCACTGGGCTGCACTAACCAGTAGTATAACGATGGGTGGGCAAGTGAGGCACAAGCCCCAGGCACTTCCTAAGGATGGCACTGGAATGGATCTGGGGAGGGTTCTTCAACTTCCCATCCCTTGTCCTCTACTCCCGGCCACTTCCCCTTACCTTGCACCTTCCCTGCAGTGGCTCCAGCTCTAGTTTTAGCTCCAGCAGCAGAGGGGACAGAGCAGCAGTGGTGGTACAAGGTGCCTTGGGGTGTGATGGCACATGGTACAAGAGCACTGGCCAGGGGTTTGCTGCTGTGGGGGGGAGATGTGATCTTTTTTGCTGCCAAAATTTGGTGTTTAAATAGCTACTTGACATACTAGTTGGCTGAAAAAGGACGTGACAGCTTCCCCCTGCTGGTTCTGCGGGCTGGAATACTCTGACTTCAGCGCTTTCTTTGTGCTCTGGGCTTCTCCTACACTTCTGAATGAATTTAGCGTACAAGAAAGTGAGACACAAAAAGTACTGACTACAGACAGGCACGTCACAACAGGTTTTTACGCATGCTTCTCACAGCTCTCTGAGTATACTCAAGCCTCTTAATTATGATTATAATTATATATTTATATTCTGTTCAGGTCATGGACCAGGAACAACCTCTTGGCTGATGTGCTGTACTGCAGAACAAAAATACAGCCCCTGCCTTGAGCATCTTTAAATAATAAAGTAGACTTGAAAAGCCTCCTAAGTAGCCCTGATCTCTTGAATAGAAGCTGTGAGGTGTTCAATGTCCTCCTGCCACAGAGCTGAGCTCAAATCTTGTGATTAGTTTGTGATATTTCTGGAAACAGTCACACAAATGAAAGGGAGTTGGGGACTGTGTCAAATAGTGTGAAGTGATATAGCCAACCAGTAATATTTTACGAGCCACAGAAAAAACAGAGAGAGAGCGAGCAAGAGGCAATCCACAGAGGATTGTCTGTTGATTGTAATCACATTTTTGAGTTCCAGGCTGGTGTGTCTTTTTTTCCCCCGCAGTATGCATAGGTCAATATTGAAGCTGTCTTTTGTAATCTTTAATTTGATTAATTCATTTCCCCCTCTAACTGCCTTAGTGCCGGGTTACATTTCATAGGTAAACAATGGCTCTATTTTGTTCTCACCTACC